TATATAATAAATAAATAATAATATATAATAAATATATAATAAAATATATAATAATATATATATACATATATATATATCTGATTTTAATTATAGAAATGACGAGAGACGAGAACGTTCTCACAAGATCGCTTTATAAAATATTTATCGAGTTCAAAAAAAAGAAAAGAAAAGGAAAATGAAAAACAGAAGATAAAAAAAGGGAAAAGAAGTTACGTGATATAATAATTAAACGAGTATATTATTCTCGTAACTTCATTTGCATATCTGATCATATCTTTTTATTCATCTAAAATTTCCGATCCCACGACATATTCAAGAAGATGAATATAGGAAAATGATCTGAAAGATTGTGAAAGGAAAAAAATGGAAAGTTTAAATCTCGCGTACCGAAGCGCGGGAAAATACAGATCTTACGAATAACGAATCTTTCGTAATGCATTTATTACGATTTCAACGCTGGGAAAATAAAACTAAACTACAAATAATAAATACATCTAACATAAGCATATACGCGTACTATTTTGTTTGTTTAAAACTGTCTCATAAATACAATGACTCGTAGGAAAAATATTTGTATAATTATTTTAAATTTGAAACAATTGATAACCACGCTTGTATAATTCTAACTTTCGAAATTTCTCTATTGTAGAATTATTTTATTCACAAATTGTGTGATATCACAATTTAATTGTATTTAAAGAACATTTTGATTGTTCGATCAAATATTATTTGATATAAATGATAAGAATATTGTTGTTACAAAAAATTATTTGTGCATCTACATAATAAAAATGCAATGATTATTTTTTTTCTAAGTAATACTTCGTTGATATTATTTTTGTTTGTTGTTGTTATTGTTTATATATAAGAATAGAAAAACAGTTGTATTATAAGCAGATATCAATTGTTATAAATTTACAGTATAGATATGAATATTCTTATGACTCATTGTATATAATAATTATATACTATATTGTTAACAAATTATTACAAATATAATTATTACTATGTAAAACAATAACAACAAATATAACAAATATATCTAATTATATAAAAATTATATTACAATCATTGTTTAATATAATTAATTATACATTGTCAAAATATAATTATTATTGTATATAACAGAAAAAAATATAATAATATCAGTCAATGTATAAAAAAATTATGTGTTACAATCATATTGCTAATATCATTTATTTTAGTATTACTTTTAATATATCACTCGTATAATTCATTTATATTTTATATACAACGGTAAAAAAAAGAAAAAGTACACACATATATATATATATTATATAAGAATTGAAACAGTACAAAAAAAGAAAAAAAAAAGAACTAATCAATAAGTAAACTATGTAAAACTATAAAAAAAAATGGGAACTCGTTCGAAACTTTTACCGATCGTTAAAGATGTCACCACATCAATATCCCCATTACCTACTTAGTATTATTAAATATGTATGATCAATAGTTTGCTTGACGAATTATTTTAATGATTATATAATTTGTTTACCTTTTCTTAAAAGTTGATCGTTTAAAAAAGATGCATTAATGATGTAAAATAAATATAAACAAAAGAAATTGATCAGATGTGTTAACACAGCACTTGTACACTCACGACTGACCTGTCGACTCTAAATGAAACTAAGCGAAGTTAGGCTAACCGCCAAGTTGTAGTAGGGATCCTATAAGTTCGACGAAGGACGTTATTTTTTTCCTTATTCACGTCATCATATTCTATTAATTAATCAAGGCTAACCGAAATGTATTAATGGGGAAATTTATTTAACAATCATCTCGTTCTCCTATTTCTATTTGTTTAATTTTAATCTAAAATACGTTTCAAATATTATAAATATATGATAGAGAATGTGATAGAATATCTAATGTATACAGTTAATTTATTTATGTTATTCTTTGTTTTGTTACGCGTATGTTGAAGAATGATAAAGTATGTAAGATATGCTAAAATGTGTGTTGTATGTTCATGACGAGTATACAAAAATATTTGATATATATATGTTTGATATATAGGATATAGATATATTGATTAAACTATATTCAATTATTATTAATAATTTTGAACCGATTACAAATATTTATTTTATATATATATATATATATACCGTTAATGATAT